CCTGCTGACCTTTATCAGGTTGGCATGCTTTTAAAATTATTTCTGATTTTTTTCTATTTACAGTGCTTGGCATTTTGATAATTGCAACGTTCCTGTAGTAGTAGTGTATTTTACTGATTACTGATTTTATTTAAATTACTGATGTATAGTCTCATCTGTTGAGGTATGTAATGGTAAAATTTCGTAGGACCTAGGCAATCTTTGCCTCCCGAGTGAAAGAGATCGAACAGATATTTTCACTTGGCATTCTTCATTTCCATGTTTCTGAGAATTTCTTATGCTTGTGCTTTCTGTAGGTCCCAGAGGTATTCCCCTAGGCCACTAGCATTCCCATAATATGTAATCGTTCTTCCTTTCCTGAACTAGGTGTCTAGACATTCATTCACTTAAGCAGATTTTTGCTCACAGCTTTATTAAAAAGTTTAAAATTTGCCTGCACTTAAATATTAATTCAAACTAAGAAAGCGTGTGAATTTGAAGCATATACTGCTAGACATCTCTGTGTGGGCTCTTTATTCTAGTTCCTGCTAACCTCGTTTGGTCACAGAGCAAGGAAAGCAGCGCTCTGACACTGGTATAAGAAGCCGAGGCTCAGTAGCTGGTGAAGGCCCAGAGCCAGCCAGTACGAAAGGCAGGGCATAGGGACGTGGTGGAATTTAGGCCAGCGGAGTGTGGTCCTGCATGCTCACAGATGAAACGCTGTGTGAATAGTTCCTCCTGAATGAGTCCATGAGTAGAGCGAAGCCTTTAGTCATAGTCCAGTGCAGCAGAAAGGGCTCAGCTATTTCTGGCCGTAGTGTAACAGAGGGTTCCTTTTTGTACATTCATCTCCTGGCTATAGTGTGGGGTGCCTGTGTGCTCTCTGCCTCAGGGTTTTCAATAAATTGCTTCCTTGTTTTCAGGAGGAGATGACCAGTGCTTTGGCTACCATGAGGGTGGACTATGATCAGGTGAAAATTAAAGACTTGAAAACATCCAACAACCGCCTCCTGAACAAACGGCGTAAGAAGCAAAAGCAGGCAGGCACCTCTTCTGCAGCCCCAGGGTGCAATAACCAATGAGAAGAGAAGCCAAGGACCCGTGGGTGGAGGGTAAAAGTCGAAAGGAACAATTTAAAATCAGTATGATCAACTCAGTCCGTACCACAAAGGCAATGAGACCGTGAAGAAGCTATCCTGCCAAGAGGGAGCAGTGTGAAAGATTACATTTTTATAACTTGAATCAGGGCTTTGCTTTTAAAGGCTAGCGTATATTACATGATTCTGTTGCATATTGCTGGGGAAGGTACAGTAATACCAGAAATGTTATGGGTTTTTGTTTTGGCTTGAACTGTGTCGGACAAGAGGAGAGAACAGGAGGCAGCCTTGGCATACTAATGCACTGGGGCTTTAACAGCCATCTACAACAGCAACTTGTGCTACCATTTTAAACTTGGGAATAGGAAAAATGCCAAGTGTTCTGCTAGGAGTGTTTTAGTAGTTCAGACATGAGTACTGAGAAAGGAGAAAATGTCACTGCTCTTTATAGGAGTAGCACAGGTGCAGTTCTGTTGTAGATGCATCTGGACAGCATTTCGTGTTAGAATTGGTAATAATCAATATTTCCAAACTTACCTCCTATAGTTACAGAATATCACCTAAACAGTAAACAGTTGCTGCTGATACAGGAAAAAGCATCCATATATTTCCATTTTCATAAAGTCTTCATGTAGTCTCATGTGAAGATTTGAGTTTGCCATGAATTCTCATTTGATAACATGTGTTTTCTAAACTGTAACCAGTATGTCGTGTCTCTGCTGCTGTCAGATCCCTCTCTTATAATGTTTTTAATTTAAATGGTACTTTATGTGAAGAGTTTTAATAAGGCTTTAATTAGTTGAAAGTATCCTGCAGAGAATATTGTTGTTCCTCTTGGATCCACAACCTTTAGGGCATGCAACTGGACCTGAAATTGTGTACAAGAGACTGCTCTAGACAAGAGACTTCTGAAATTCGTAAAGAAGTGGCAAGTGCCTGTTCTCTGAATGGACCCTGGTGTCTGCCAGCATCCCTCCTGGTAATTATCTCCAGACCCTCTGCCTGAGATGTGCTGATCATAGCAAATTTTGGGGTGCTGGGGTTGGTTTGTTGCCTGGGGTCAGGGCAGGGGAGGATGCTACTTTATTTGCAGCTTTGTTGGTGTTTCTGGATCCAAAGATTTTGGCCAGCTGATGGAGATCAGCCCTTATTAGTATATCCACCCATTGTTTTTTTCCTATACCAATCATTGTTTTATGGGAATCTAGCCTCGGTTTGCTAATTTGTTTTACTTTGTGATCGAAATATTTCTTCTCGCTGTATTTTAGGTTTGTTTTTGTTTTTTTTATTGAGGTGAAGCAAATATTTGTGGAAGTATTATCAGAGTCTAGGATGAAAATTATGTGCTCCCAGTGATGCAGAGAAAAACTACTTTGTGGTAGGCATGTGGAGAACTGTGTATTAATAGACTTGGAAGAATGTTAAAAGACAAAAAGGAAAACAAGGCTCCAGAGAGGATCTGAATCATCAAATCCAACTGCACATAGATCTTGTTACCTCCAACAAAGACCAGCTCGAGGCTTTGGACCTTGTCTGGGGAGCCCTGTTCCCATCTTCACAGTGTTGGACGAGACCTCCATTCATCTTCTTTGTGAACTGGTCCTAGGGTTTTATAAACCGATTTTAATAAATCGTGCTACAGCATTCCTTCCTCCTGTCATCCCTGCTCTTGCTGAGATGTTGCGGAGTTTGCATGGCTTTGCGAGGTATGTCTGTGTTGAAGGTGATGGGAAAAGGGAGAAGTAAAGTGTTCAATGATCCACGTTCAAAGGCTACCCAACTTCGAGCATTTTTTAAGATTACAAGGGTTTGTTATTACATATCAATCTCTGCAAAGATATATTTTAAAATAATTTCATGTTTATCGGTATCTCTATGATCATAGCATGTCCTGTATATATTTATTTTATCATATCACTCCTATTAATTATGCAATTATTATTCACTACCTGTAAACAATAATACAACGAATGAATAGTTGTGAGGTGTTCAGGGTGCAACACCTGGGTCAGAGCCAGATCCAAGTTTCTGTTCCTTTATCCAGATTTTCTGAGGGTTCTATGTACATCACTCCCACCTTCTGACCTCTGTGCCCCATGCGGGTGATCCATGCTCCCACTGTCGCAGTGAAGAGGGCACCTCTGTATGATGTGCTGAGGTCTTGGCTGCCGTGGGTAGAGCGGTACCGGAGCTTTTGCAACCCATGTTTTTGCTTCTGTCTTGCCCAAAGTTTGAGCAGCAGCTCTTGGTTTCCAGCTAGTGCCATCTCACGTGTCAGCTCAGTCTGGGTCCCTGTGGGGTTCCTGTCTTTACTGCGCTGCCGTTCAGAAGCTGGAGCGCCGGACTGATGCGCTTGGGCACAGCACCCGCAGCTTCCAGTCCCTGCGCGGTAGGACAATACCATCCCGTTAGATTTGGACTAACACTTCTTGCATTCTGCCCGGCAGTGACAACATCCAGGGGTACGGTAAAGCCCGGTGGGCGCCTGAGGAGGGCCTCAAAATGGCAGACGTGGAGGCGCACGCACGTATGGTACAGACGTGTACAAACACGCCTGTGTTCCAGCAGGAAGGAGGCGGCTCCTGGGGAGCTGGGAAGCCGCTGCCGTGCGGGGTGCGGACCCTCGGACTGCGAGGCGGCGGGGGCAGGGGCCGAGAGGCCCCCCG